TCCCAAGGCAAAGTATATTTCCAGCCATGAGGTCTCTTGAGGAATATAAATAACAGGAAATGTTAAAAAACAAAACAAAACAAAATAAAGCAAACGTCCAAGACCCCCCCAAAAAAACAAAAACAAAAAACCCAACCAACCAACAAAAACTGTGAAGTAAACATGAAATGTATAGGATATATGCATGTACCAAGCTGTTTTTATAATGTGTGTAGATGGTTTCCTTCAAAAGCTTTTTCATATGTCTTACAAAAGGTATGAAACAAAAAAAGAGAATGTTACTCAAAGGCCATACCAAGTAAGTCTTCAACCCTCTACTGAATAAGCTTTTTGTGCAACTTACACACAATAATTCATACCTACCTGCTCATGCTGTTATTACCATTATCTAGTATTGTTTTGTATTGCAGTTAGCACCCAAAGTGTGCTAATCACATACAAGAAAAAAAATCTACCAATGCAGAGAGCTTAGCTTTTGTTAACAGCAAGGGTCAAGAGATGAGAACTACAGTGAAAGTTGAAATGCAGAAAAATGTAGAAAGTGGCAGAAAAATGCTGGAGTTTTTTGTACTCTTTATTACAAAAGTAACAGATTTTTGTTCAAAATTGCTGTTGATGTCAGGGTTCATAGGTAAACATTTCCCATTTCTCTCAGCCCTTCTTCCAACTTGATTAGGAGAAAGACTCCTCAAACAAGCCCAGCACTTTTTTTCTTTCTTTTTTCATTCCCTTCTCTTAAACCTAGTTTTATTTGCTGTGTCTGATCATACTGCTATCCAAGCACACTCCACAGAGACAGAGAAGCTCTATACATTGAGCAGTCTTGCATGATTGCCATCTAACCACCAGCATCTCCCCAGCAATTGACCTGAAGTCCCAGGACTGTACTTAGCTGCTCCACTCCTCCTATTATGGTAAAAATCTCTCTTCACCTATTTTCAGTTCTGCAATCTTCAATCTTCTCCTTTTGCATGATTTGAAAAATGCAGGAGCAGCTGCGTCTGCCAAAGTTCCATGTGGAATAGCGATTTCCTATGGTGGAAAAACATGCTCTGCACAGTAATTACTGTAAGTCAAGTCCATTTAATCTGCACAAGGACTTTTATTGTCTTACGCAGTTTGGGAGGATTTGGGAGGCCTAGTCTCCAAAGTTCGTAGAATAGGAATCTTATAGATGTTAGAGGTGTGACACATGTTAGATTGCTGCATATATTGGGTAGCAGAGATTTTGGCATCATAGGCACACAGATATAAAGATGAAATATAGGCTCCAGTTTCTCATGATTAAGTCTAGCTAAGGGGTAGACATGGGATAATCATTACATAGCTTTGCTATTTCCCTTTATTAACTTTGCCCTACATACTTTCTTGAACCTCTAAGCATTTTTTCCCCCTCCCTTGTGGTTTGTATAGAAGTGCATAATATTGCAGCAGGTACCCTTTTTTCACCATTTTATTTTTATTTTTCAGATTTTTCACCTGACACACGAAAGGGGAGACTTTAAATGGTTTTCTATGAAAAGAGCCACACCATGGCTTTAAAATTACAGTTAGATCTGTAAACTCTATCAAATCGTGAGCTCAGTCTAACTTTCCCTTTCAGTTTTCAGTCAACTAGTTACTTCTTTTCATCTCCAAAAGTGGTTGTTTGTGGTTCTTCTACTGTTGCAACCACTGCTATTGTTTCAGGATTGAATTTGGCAGAGGAAAGGAGCCTGTGATACTTGGGCATCTGTAAAACACCTACCACAAAATTGTAGAATTGTATCTATTTTAGTTTAAAAATTTGCTCTTTAACATTATTAATAGGAGGCTTCCCTAATTGACTAAGCTTAACTTTGGACATTTCTTTATTACTTCCCTTCGCTCCAATTTTGTTTATATGTTTATATGAGCTGAAATCTCTATGTAGATTTTAGTTCTTTATTTCAATCTTGCCATAATTTTCCCAACTGTAGTTTGATCTTTTGCAGGGATCCTAGATGTCCCTAGACCACAATTTGAAAAACACTGCTTTGAAAATATTAATCTTCAGTTCTTGTTTTGGTTTTTTTACAGAGTTAGAGAATTGACGGGTCCAAGTTCATCGACTTAAGTTTTTTGGGACAGGACTGTTTCCTATGAAGAATGTTGCCTGATGCAACTCAAACTAGGGCATATCAGCTCTTGAGGACAATGTATTTGTACAAAAAATCAGCAAAATACTCAAGTTTGTTTCAAAATCCTCCACCGTCTTGCCCAGCTTGTGATTTTCTGCCTGACAGAGGCATGTAAATCCAGCTTGCAAAATCTGTGAAACCCTTACATATGTGAGAGCCAGATATGCTGACTGTAGATCTTTATCTTTAGTTCACGCTTGCCTGCATCATTGCCTTCCGAGTACCTGTGGCTGCACAGTCCAGCTCCATAAGAGCATTTCACCTGCTCAGTTTTTGTTCTTTCCTTGTAGACAATCCTATGGAATCAAAAAACTCTAGGTCAGGAATCCTAGGCAGTGCTCTTCATATTTCCCTTTTGATTTCACATGAAGGGACATAAACAGATTATTATTGTCCGTAAGGTCACACTATAAACTCCCAGTAAAGTAATAGAACATGCCATGTTGAGCTATCAAAGATCAAAATTACAGTAGTAGCTCTAGATAAGGTGTTCCTGCTGTGAAGGAAGCAGGAAAACTTCTTTGGAGTTTTTTATCTCTAGACATGCATTAATTTGTACATTGTCCAAAATGTACAATTTGTACATTGTCCAATTTGTACATTGTCCAAAAGTTTAAAACACCCAACATATTAGCAAATCTTCATTTACGCTTCAGTGATTCTTCAGAAGGAATCTCCAATTGCTCTGCTACAGTTCTCTGGATAACGACCTTTCCTACCAGATAAGAATACTTCTTGACCAAAAAAGTTACTGTACCACATGCCCAATGTGAATATTAACTGCACAGATCCAATTTTTAAAAGCATGTATTTGTTTAAACAATTTGAAGTCCATCAGAAGATTTTGTGTCTAGAACTTATTATTTAATTTATTATTAATTTAATGTCTCCCTCCTACAGTAGGGTAATACGAGTTGCTCTAAATGGTCTTGCAGCATGTTTGAATAAATGGTAAGATTACTCTAAATAGACTTTTTAAAGCTCAAAACAAGCCCATGTTTCACTTATAAATATCCACAATGCATCTGTTCAGCATACCAATCTTTGTAAGTATTTCCCTTAAAAAAGAAAAGAAAATGCTAGAAATAAAGACAATTGCTTATATGAGCAATTTCAAAGTTAAATATTGTCTTAGAAGTACTGTGGATGGAAAACAGTTGCTTGGTACTGCATTAGTCCACTGAGGTTAATTAGCGAGCTGTTCAGGTTTTGTAGGAGCCAAGAAGCAATGAAAGGTAATCCAAAGTTTGGATTGAATTATTCTGTCTCTTGTAGGGACTTGCAAATGGAGTTTACAAATTTCCAACCGTGCAGAGAGTGGTATGGTTGGGGTTTTTTTTGAAAATTGCTGTTTGGAAACAATTTCAGCAATACATTACAATGCTATGTTATAATCATGAGCTACCAAGTTATCATTGGTAAGTGATCCTTCACCAGGCAAGAGCTGGATGTTTAATTGCCCGCTTCTGGGATTCTCATTTTGCTCTGTGTTTAGTCTCTAAGTCAGGGCCCATTTTCCAGGCCTACAGTGCTTTTGACTCGTGTCCTATGGATCTCTCTTGCTGATGAAAAAACGCTCTGTCTTAAGAGAGGTTCACCATGTATGCACTCAAAGCATGAAAATCTCTCTGTAGGTGGTATGCATAGGACAGATTATTGCTTACAGCTCATGGGGAAGGCATGAAGAGGGTGCTGTTGGCTGGGCGTATACATGCTACTCATCAGGGTGCTTTGGCATGGAGGGTGTGCAGGTCCTACAGGGAGGCACTGAGCCGTTGCCGAGCAGCGAGAAATTCCCGGGTGCTGCCAGCCTGGAGCCAGGAGAGCTGAGAAGCGGCTTGCTGGGATAGTGTGCGCTGGGAGGAAGGAAACAGAGAGTCTGTTCCTAGCTCTGCCCTTGATGCAAGATCTTAGCGATGTCCAGTGTAACTCTTTTTCTTGCCTTAACCATCTGGTGTCTTCTGTATAACATTTTCAGGTTCGCAACTGTCTTTCAATAGCTGTTTACCTAGAGCTTCTAATTGAAAGTGTAAGTTTCAGATGAGCTGCAGAGTTAGAAACCACCTTGTCTTGCCTGTCCATCACTGTTAATCAAGTATTGAGGGGTGGGAGAGGCTTAAGCAGAGGAGCCTGCCTTGGATTTTTTTCTTCAATCTTGTTCTGTTTTCATAGCACCGTGTTTGGTTGCCAACACAGCTGTGATGAAAAGAGATCATGAGATAACTACAGTACAGACTGGTGTTGTGCGACATTACTATGAAAAGATAAGAAAGAGACGCTGCACAGTATCTTTTCATTACTTCGTACATTTACTACTAACATATATTCAAGCAATTGGATCTTTGCCTTGGCTGAGCTCCTGTTCTGGAAGACAGGTCCTGTGTTTCACCCCTGGCCCTGTCTGTCACTGTTGGTGGGCCTGAGAGGCATTGAATTGGAGGTTTGTGTTCTTATGTGCAAAAAATGTGCAAATAAATAGCAATGTGCTTTACTCAATCTCTGCTTATCAGATTGCTTCTGACCTCACCTGAACTGCTCCCTTTGCCAGAACTGAAACTGCATGTGTCAGAGGAGACAGACTTAAACCAGCGGTGCATTAAATCAAACATTAATAGTATGTGTGCAAAGAATTATCAAAAGGACTGGTAAATTATGTGTTCAGGGAGGCCTTATGCAGTTAGGACAAAGAATGTCTCAGTGTTTTCAGAGCAAGAAATGAGGTCTTTTGTTCTTCTCCAGGAGGCAAGTAGCACCAAGGTGTGTGTTGGCAGTTTGCTTGCTCCAGACTCTGAAAGAATGCTTGGTTTGCAAAATTTTCATCTCTTCTATTTTATTCCCCAGTTATGAATTCCACGTGAAACCTAGAAACCCTCTTGGTGAAGGTCCAAGTAGCAATGTTGTGGCATTCAATACTGAATCAGGTAAGAACTGAAGGTCCCACCATCATTTACAGTGGCTCTAGTATCCATGTTTGCGGGATATATGGAAGGCTCTCTTGCTTCATCTTGCACGTTTGGTCTTGCTCTTTACTATCTCCAGATTGGCTTTTTACTACTGAGCGTGTTACGGTAGTGCTTGGAAGGTCAGTCTGAGATCAGGGCTATATTGTGTGAGGATGTAAGATGGCCAGACTGCAGGAGAAAAAAACAGGAGCACAGAGAGTTTGTCTGGTGTTTATTATGAAGAAACTAACTTTATCCTTAGAGAAGGCTTGGTCATTTAAGATTAATATTCCTGACCTTTTTGTATCTATCACACTCATTAATGACTTCTGGATGGGGAACATAAGGGTTTTGTTTGGGCTGGTGTGTTTATAGGCATTTTTGCTACCTGGTCAATAAGGCTGCTGTATAATAGTGATGTCTTTTGGCTGAAATAAGGATTGAGAAATAGCAGTTGGGAAAAGTCAATGTCCCAGTGTGTCCTCTTCCATCCTGTTTACTCTGCTGTTAGAGAGGTGTATACAAGCCTATTTTGACCATTGGTTGGTTCCCAAGCTAAGTCCTATCTGACTCAGAGGTGAGAATCAGAGAGTGCCTTTGCTTTCCCTATTCCAGTTCCCCATGAGGCTAACTACAGTTGACTCGTTGACTCTATACAAGCAAGATGCCATCTTTTGTGTAGAAGTGTTTATTGCGTGATAGTACTTAAGGACCATATAAAACACAAAATGGATTTCGCCTTTTTAAAAGGACTTTCTCAATCTGCATTTTGAGCCAGGTGTAATAATATAACAGTCCTCACCTAGTGCTGTCACTGACGGATGAGAGTTTTGGCTGAGCAAGGGATTAGTCAGGGAGGAGTTCAGACTGTGCCACACGTATTTAAAAATTGTGAATACACTCTTTGTAATCCCAGATTGTTAAAACTGAAAAAATGTTTATGCCAAGTGCAGTTTTCCTGAATGACAAGGCTTATGTTCTGTCTCCTATTTAGCTTGGACAAATTAAGCGGTCATTTTTATTTTTTCTTAATTGCACACATCCATTTCTCGCTTTTGGGCTTTCATAGCCAATTTTTGTGCAGCAAGTATTACAGAGGGGTCCTTTTTATTATTTAAGTTTTGAAACTGAAATTTTAAAAAAGATGCAGTAGAATTGGTTTTTGCTGGTTACATGTTTAAACTCTTGTTTTTACTAGAACTGTGTTTGACTGGTATCGTCCCGTAAGTAAAATTTTTAAAAGCTCATTGATACTGTAGTATCAAGTATTTCTTGTAATTTAATTTAATACAAAAGTGAACTTTGCTTCCAAAACTCTTTCTGTTTCACACATTACAGCTTATGTCAACTGTAGAAAATCACTTACCAATGCTTTTCCATTGAAATATTGGGAAAGTTCATTTTACAGTGTCTGATTGAATGTTTGTTTTCTTCCCCCAGCGGACCCGAGAGTGAGTGAGCCAATTTCAAGTAAGACCTTTATGTGTATTATATTGTCTTCTGATTAGGAATTTTTTTCAGAAATGAGATAGCATAATTTTATGAGGAGGGTGGCTGTACTGCACCAATTAAATGAGTTAGGGAATCAAACAGCATTCACACATGATTTCACTCCTTCCACCCATACCCCTGCTAAGGACTTCATGCCAGGCTGCTTGTTTACCTGAGCGGAACGCAATCAACGTGATGTGGTGCTCCCATGGCAGCTGGGATGGCTTCAAACCAATGTACACAAATGAGCCAAGGACAGCCTCATATTTTCTCAGCCTTGTCATTAAAGCAAAAGAAAGCTCTGTAAAATGAATAAGCTACTCCACACTTTTTAAGTGAGTTAACAGAGCACAGCTCAGAGGATACTATTTATCTGCCATTGTGTTTTAGAAAAAAAATTCTGCATCTGAAGGCTTGATCCAGCTCTGCTTTAGGCCACTTACAAGACTCTTGCTGTCTTCGGTGGGAGGTGGACTGAGCTTCTGAAGAACAGTCGAGATCGCTCAAGCAAACTGGGCTGCTTTTTGCATTTGTAATGGACATCACTTTGACAAACACTGAGACACCATTTCTTTCCATATAATTCATGACACAATTTTTATGTGTATTTTTGTTAAATCACATACAGCTTGCTGCAAGTTGACTGTCCCGGCTTGAACCCACTGAAAAACAGTGACTGTATCTTTGAAACACACTTACACACACTTTGTAAATGAGAGCTTTGCCAACACACAGGCATTGTCCCCCTAACAAGGTCCTAGAATGAGCTTATTCCAAACTGGCACCACACACATAGAGCAGAAGCAGTTCACTGCATCAATCATATCTGCACCCTATGGTGCTTCCCTGAAATACCTTTCATGTTCAAAATGCAGGTGACTGGTGCCACAGTGCATTCTGCTCCACCAAGGTTTCTAATTCTATTTATTTGAATACATTTGTTGTATGTAATTTTGTATGCAGCATCATACTTCAGCCTCTTTCTTCCTCTCCTGCAGTGGGAAAGGATGCTATCTGGACTGAAATCCCATTCAATTCGGACACCGATTCAGAATGCAAAGGGAAACAATACGTAAAGAGGACTTGGTATAAGAAGTTCGTAGGTGTGCAGCTGTGTAATTCTTTGAGATATAAAATATACCTCAGTGATTCACTTACAGGTAAGAGACATTCAAATCAGTGTTGTCCACATTATACACTCCTTAAAGATATCATGGTTCCAGAACTAAGAGGTTTAACAAGACGAGCTCTGCTGAAGTGTGATAGGTATGTTTAATCTAGTCCATAGACAGATTAATCATAAACAGTAATCTGCATGTGCTCAGTCATCATTGGTGTGTTTGATACTGGATTTTCAGACTCAAGAGTTATTTCTCTGTGGTGTTCATCTGATTTTTAGTACCTGTTAGTATCCTGGGAGTCATACAGAAAACTGATAAAGATCAGGTCTCTGCCAGTGAATAGCAGATATTGTAAAGGTGCCGAATTTGTATTTAAAGGGTAGCCAGGAATAATTCTTAATTAGAGGATTAGGACCTAATTTTAGACTAGGATTAGACTCAGTCATTCTCGTCCCATTTGGTAAGCATCTGGTTACTTCATTACTGTGAGGCTTATAAATATTTGAGGCTTATAAATACTTATAAAAACTTACTACTTCAACTGTAGTAGTACAGGTTTTATTCACCTGCTTTGAAATTTTTGTTTTGTTTTCACATTCCTCATTTTTGCTTATAATATCTTCCTCCCCTCCC